ATCTCTCCCACTGGCATGACCAGGTAAAAATGGGAGACAGAACATCAAGGAGGCCGGGGGTGTGGAGATTGCTATTAAGAGTCTGGAGATAGGGGGCGCCTGGGTGGCTCAGCGGTTGGGCGTCTGCCTTCGGCTCAGGTCATGATCCCAGGGTCCTGGGATCGAGTCCCGCATCGGGCTCCCTGCTCCGTGGGGAACCTGCTTCTCCCTCTCCCACTCCCCCTGCTTGTGTTCCCTCTCTCACTGTGTCTCTGTCTGTCAAATAAATAAAATCTTAAAAAAAAAAAAAGAGTCGAGATGGGGCACCTGGGTGGCTCAGTCGTTAGGTGTCTGCCTTTGGCTCGGGTCATGATCCCAGGGTCCTGGGATCGAGTCCCACATTGGGCTCCTTGCTCCTCCTGCTTGTGTTCCCTCTCCCTCGTGTTCTCACTCCCCCTGCTTGTGTTCCCTCTCTTGCTGTGTCTCTGTCAAATAAATATAGAAAATCTTAAAAAAAAAAAAAAAGAGGCTGGAGATGGTGTCTTGAGAAGGTCCTGGGTCAGAAATCAGATGATACGCCATTGTGGCAACCTTGTGTGTGTTTGTGGGGAGGGAGTGAATCCTTAAAAGGTCCCTAGAGCCCAGGGAAATGGAGGCTGGGGCTCTCTTGCTCTTCCCACATTGCCTGGGGAATTGGTGGGAAAGGTACTGGGGCTTCATGAGGGATGAATGGGACAGCCCACGGGAAGAGGAGAGGGGATACAGAGGCCAGGCCAGGTCCTCGTCCCAGGTCACAGCCTCTCAGGCCCCATTTACAGTGCTGGTCTGGGCATAGCCCTGCTGCTGGAGCTACGTGATGAGCCCCCAGGAAGCCCCTAAGAGGGGAGGAAGGGGCCTTATCCTCAGCCAGGCCCTCTTGCCTGGAGGCCTGGAACCCTGGGGAGTGGGAGGCTGTGGTGGAGGCTGGACTAGATGGTGGGCAGCAACAGTGCCATTGGTTCCAGATCAGACATCATGGGGTCATCAAGGGGAGAGGGAACCACACATGCCCTGCTGCCCCTGGCAGCTTGTTCAGGCCACCCCGACTGCCTTCTCAGGTCTGACAGACAGCCGGACGTCAGACAGTGTGGAAACCACTGAGGGTGTGGGCTTCTCCCCAGCCACCCTGCCACTGCCCAGATTCAGGTCCACTCCGGTGATTGGACGAACACAACAGCCCTGAGGGTTTCCCAGCGTCCACCGTTGCTTCCGCTAACCCAGCTGCACCTCCCTCCAGCATTGTGTGTATCACCCCACTTGAAAATCCGCAGTGGCTCACCACCACCCGAAGCATGAAGCCCAAGCTCTTCAGCAGACAGTTAGGCTCTGGGCTACCTGATCTTGTCAGTCGTGCCTCCCACCCTAGGTTGGAGGACCACTGAACACTCACTCCCCAGCATGCAACACACGTTTAGGCCTCTGTACCCTTGTATTTGTTGTTCTCTGTACTTAGGAGATTCTTCCCCCTTCTCTGTCAAACTTTCCCTTTTCTTTTTTAAATAGGCTCCAGGGCCAGTGTGGAGCCCAATGTGGGGCTTGAACTCACAACCCTGATTGAGACCTGAGCTGAGATCAAGAGTCAAATGCTTGGGGCACTTGGGTGGCTCAGTCAGTTAGGCGTCTGTCTTCGGCTAGGGTCATGATCTCAGGATCCTGAGATTGAGCCCCGCATTGGGCTCCCTGATCAGTGGGGAGCCTGCCTCTCCCACTGCCTCTTCCTGCCACTTCCCCCTGCTTGTGCTCTGTCAAATTAAAAAAAAATTTTTTTTTTTAATTTGACAGAGAGAGACAGTGAGAGAGGGAACACAGCAGGGGGTGGGGGTGGGAGAGGGAGAAGCAGGCTTCCCGTCAGGCAGGGAGCCCAATGTGGAGCTCAATCCCAGGACGCTGGGATCATGACCTGAGCTGGAGGCAGACACTATGACTGAGCCACCTAAATCAAATCTTAAAAAAACAAAAGTCCGATGTGTAACCCACTGAGCCACCCAGACACCCCAAACCTTCCCTTGACTTTCAAGGTCCAGCTCACCAATCTCTTTTCTGCGGTCCCAAGACCCCCTTTACAAAATTTTTAAAAATAATCTCTACACCCAAAGTGGGGCTTGAACTCACAAGCCTGAGATCAAGAGTCACATGCTCTACTGAGCCCGCTGGGGCCCTAACACTCCTACCAAACCACACCTTGTCAGTCAGTGTCTGCATGGCAAGCCCTTGGCAGATGGTGGTTCAGTGAGTAAAAGGCTGACCCAGGAACTGGCCTCAATCTCCTTGTCCCTCTCTACCCTGAACACTCAGCTGGGACTGAAGGTGGAAGAAGTGGGCACAGGGCTCAGGAGATGCTGAGAACTGCAGTGAACAGCAGGAGGGCCGGGAGGGCCTGAAGCTGGTAAAGTTCCTTGTGCCCATTGCTGGGAATGAACTTCTTCATGAGGTAGGACGAATATAGTGGAGGGTCCACTGGGACCTTCAAAGCAGGGCCCCCACCCCCACCACCTGATGGTTCACAGTAAAGATTCCTGCAGATGCTGGGAATAGCAGCCCCAACTTGGTCTTAGCTCACTTCGCTGCAAGTTGGGCCCATGCAAGTGATGGGTGTAGAGGACATGGGGCAAGTCCTCCTGATGGCCACCTGTGGGCAAGAGGAGCCTGGAGTCAGCAGGATGGTAGGGCTGAAGCACCCGGGGAAGGGGCAGTCTGGGCTAGAAGAGGCTGACCTATGAGGGAGCAGCTAAACCACTTAGCAGAGCCCCCCACCCTTCCTTTTCTAGCTCAGGGGGTGGGAACATTCAGGGACTGTCCTGAAATGAATCTCCCAAGCGAATTCCATCAATGAGTTGGAGGGCAGTGCCAGGAGGCTCAGTGCCACCATTCTAGTGTCCTGCTCTCCCATTTCCCAACTCCCTCAACATTTTGCTTTTACTCTGAAACTTTGCCAAAAGTATGTGGGGCTATCCGCAAGTAAAAGAAGGGGAGACATGGGCATAGAGGTGTGTGGGGCACTGTGGCCCCTCCCCCCCACCTGGCCAAGTTCCCTTTTCCTCACATATGCCTCAAAGCCTTTCGTGAATCTTAGAGGATCTCAGTGGATTAAAAGAGGGATGGGGAAAGAAGTGGTTCAAAATCCACCAGACTGGGGTGCCTGGGTGGCTCAGTTGGTTAAGCACCTTTCAGCTCAGGTCATGATCTCAGTGTCCTGGAGTCTAGCATTGGGCTCCATGCTCAGTGGCAAGTCTTACTGGTATTCCCCCTGCCCGCCTCGTTCCCGCTCTAAAATAAATATCCTATTTGGGGGCATGCACCTGCTACCTAGGGAGACTGGAGAATAACCCCTGAGAAATGGCTCATCGGAAGCTGTGTGAAGAGGGTGAGGGACCTACTCACCCTGCAGTTCCTTTTCCTTCTTCCCAAAGGTGTCCTGTAAAGTGCCTGATGTAACCAGTGGATGTATTTGAAAAGGGCACCCTGTCCACTGCCAAGCAGCACTTCCCTCACAAGTCTTGGGAGCTGACAAGCGTCAACCTAAGGGACTACCTAAGAGACTACCCTTACAACTGGACTCGCCCAGATAAAAATACTTTCCACCCCACCCCTTCCAATTACATGTTATGAACACCTGTCTGACCTAAAGACCTCCAGCCTCACAGTCCATTTTTAATAAAGAGAAGCGATTACAGCACACTCAGAAACCAGATCAGGTGGATTTTTAAAAACGTGGTTGTCCTCTACCACTACCTGGTCTTCTCAATCTCACTCTTCTACAGGACTAAACCACTTGCCTCACAATCCAGAGGCTAAGAAGCCCAAGTCATATAGATAGGATTCAAGTCCAGGACGTCTTGACCAAAATTTCCTTCCCAGCATGCCACACACACCTCCCAACAGTTTAGGGAACAATGTGTCTCACTAGCAACTGCTTTGGTTGGAGGTTGTTAGGTTCTTTCCCACAGCACAGGGGAAGAGAGAAACCAGCACCAGGGTCCAGAATACTGCCTAAGATTGTTCCGCTGGAGCTTCCTATGGGCCAAACAGGCCAGAACATTATTTTGTGTGGCTATCCAGTTTTCTGCCAGGCTTACTCAGAGGGCAAATTCTTCACTTTCAGGCTCAAGGCCCTATCTCCGTCTGCCCCCCAACCCTGATTTTAATACTCCTATGAAGAGAAGGACTCTGAATTCCACAAGGGGTAGGTCAGGGCATTGTTATAGTGACCACAGCATTTCAAGGAGCCCAACAAAAGAAAAAGTCCTGACTAGATTTGAAACGATTTCTTGTTATGATAAACCAGAAATACAAGATTCCACTGAAAACTGGAACAGTTGACAGAATATAGTTGAACTTAAACCTTCAAAGGGAAATAAAAAGAGGGCCAAACAAAGCCAATGAATGGAGAAGCCCAGGACTGGTTTGGGATAAACATAAGGACAATAGCATTCCAGCATGGGTATGTTCTGACTCCTAAAAGGTTTCTGCCATCATTCTATCCCTTTCTCTGAAGCATCTGCCCAAACCAAATGCCCATTTCCTCTCTATTACAAGTGTAAGCCAACCCAACAGTAGCTCTTTGGACATGATACAAAGCCAAGAGCTAAGTTTATACATCTCATTTCAGGGTAGAAAGTGCACACACCCAGCCCAGCACACTCGTTATGTGGTGTCAATGTACACAGAAGTTAACTTTAATCAAATCAGAGGTGTTACCACATGTAAACCTGTTATGTGGCCCTGTGGCTATGTCAGTGTCCCTAATTTACTACACTAATGTTATCAATGCGGCAGAATTTGAGCTCCACATTTTCTAAACACTTCTAAGAGGCTTTATATTAAAGATCACGTAGAACAGAACCATCTCTCAGAAACCTAGGCATCAGGAAGGAACACTGATGGGTTCTTTCTGGGGCTTTTTTCATGGGGACAAAGAGATGACGAGAGGAAATGTTAGAACATGAGAGCATACGACAGATGAAGGGAGGCAGAGATGGGAAGAGGGTTTTCTAGCCACAAGGCCACCACATTCATGTTCAAAGAGAAGTCAGAGCGATGGGGGGGGGGGGGACCCCAAACACAACAAAATAAAACCCAAGTCAGAGGAAAAGAGTTTCATACAACACAGTATCAAAAAAGTAAAAGGAACACACTAAATGCACAAACTGGTGGCAAGTTAAGTCCATAGCCTATTGTGATAGGTCCTTCCAGCATCAATCAGGTTTCTTCTCCATCTGTTATCTCAAGGCTATTTACAGATATGGTGACTTTTGAACAAGAGTCTCTCACAGGAGGGTGGGCAGGTTTCAATCATTGGTTTCTGGATCTGTTTGTGCCATGTAGGCATCCAACTCCGCATCCAGGTGTCCTTTTGTTTTCGACATGTACGCATCCAACTGGTTGTCCAGCTGCTCCTTGGTCAGTACAGGGCGAGTGAGGGCACCTCTCCCTCGTCCACGTCCTCGGCCTCGACCTCCAAAGCCCCCTCTTCCCCGACCTATCATACCCCGACCTGGCCCAAGGGGAAAAAAAGGAGACAGTTACAAGTAGGTTTAATGGGTGTTATGGCAAATGCCCCTCAGAGCAGCAGGGCCTAGCTGAGAAAGGCTGAAAGGGCAGGGCAAAGAGGAGAAATCTGGAAAAACAGGAAACACAGGGTAGAAAGCAACACATGGAAAGCACACATAATGAATCCCTGTTTACAGGCTCATCTCTAAATGCTATTTAAAGACTTTATTCTGTCGACAAAGGGAAAATAACTGACAATTAAAAGAATCTTAACCTCTCCTAAAACAAAAAAATTACCTCAAGTTTGAAACCCACTGTAAGTTCATAATTAAAATACACTATAGATAACCCCACTTAGGGAAGTAACAAGGGCACAGAGAAACGGGTGCAGGGCTATACAGTTTTTAAAGTAAGCCTTACTGAAGATCTTTCTAGAAAATTAGCTCATCTCTCCTCAAATTTATTAAACCTAATGAGCTGACCCCACATCGGGAGACTGAGGAGCTGTTCTGACATCAGAACAAAGTGAGAAGACGGGGGATATACTTAGAGTAGTCCCAACCAGTTCTATCTCAGATTCTATTCACCTTATAATTGTGGTTATCTGAGAGGTGGTTTCAATTCACTTAACAAAACATATGCAGCTTTTTGAAAAGCTCCTTTAGACTCCCCCCCCACCCAGCCCTGCGATGCTCTATCAGAAACCAGGTCAAGATAATGTGGAAACGTACTATTTCATCCTGAAACCCAAACTAGCTTGTACTTCACTCATTAATCCAACAATATCATGGGAGAGAAGAAAACAAGTCCTTGGCTATCAAATTTCCTAACAGTTATTATCCTTTGGCAACTTCAAGGTCATAAATTATAGAAGACCCGCCACACACTATAAAAGGACCAAAGCAGATATACACAGGGGCTACAGGAATAGATTTTCTACCCCCTTGGACAGGTGTTGTTGGAGAGTTTTCCACTAAGCTCTAAAATCAGAAAACTCCCATGAGATTTGGATTAATGACAGCAACACCATTAAGTTCTTTTCTATCTGGGTCATGAGGTCACAAAACAAGTATCACTAAGTCTCAAAGGTAACATTATCAACAAGAGTCAGTCAGTTAACTGACACAGTACCTTCTTGCTTTCTACCTTGATTAAAAAAAAAAAAAAGTCATCTCTGATTTCCTGTAGACACAAACTTTACCTTGACTTTACTTGGCTTCAAAGTCAATATCCAGCTCCAATCTCCTCATCCTTTTTAACTCAGCTTCATTTCTGTACATCTCCCTCTTCTTTATTCTTAGACTCAAAGCTGGGTTTTGAGCTATGGGATGGAGTGTGTGGTGGTGGGCAGGGACACAGGAAGGTAAAACCTCAAACTGACCATCTTGTCATTTTAGTAATACGATTTAAACTGCAAGAACGTGGAAAAAGCCTGAACATAATCTGGCTCTGACGTGTACCTGACTGGCTCTTAAGACAACCCATGACAGACTTTTTGCACTACCAGCATGTGAATTTAGAAAATAAGCCAGTTTCAAAAAACAAAACAAGACAAACAAATAAGCCTGCCTATGACTTGAAGCTGTGCAGAAAGGTGGCTCTGAGTTTTGAAGGGAGAGAAATAAGGGGGAGCTATTCTCTGAAGTTGGTAGCTGACTAACCTCTACCACCGATTCCGCCACGACCCATAGCTCCACGCCCTAGGCCCCCTCTCCCAGGACCTCCACGACCTCGAACACCACCTCTTCTTAAGCCCATTCGGGGAGCTACGGCTCGTCCACCTCGGAGCAGGTTTTGACCTTGGAGAGGAGGCATACAATGTATATGCAGGTAAATCCAAGAGAGACAAAGTAGACTCTAACCAAAGGAAGGCGGTGAGGGTTAAATGAGAGTTAATTCAGTTAATTTTTAGGTTGGGTGGGGCAAGCTGTACACCAAGTGTGAACAGATCAAACTGCTCTTTATTCAATCAATTCAACAAGTCTGACATCAAACCCATTTTTGGAAGAAGCTGGGAGTTAATTAGTAAGTACATATAATAAATATCTATTGAATAATCAGGTAAGTGCCTAGCATTACTGTAGATTTAAAAATAAATGATATGGCTCCTGCTCTCAATACATTCTTACAAGGGACAAGAAACAACATAGGGAACAGTGTTAACAGTGCCCAAAATGTAACATGTAGCTATGGGTCAACTTGTCCTCTCTTTTCCAAATATAACAGCGTATTTCACTAGCACAGAGATGGTTAGTTATGATACAGGCCAAGGGACCAAATATTTCTTAGATCTGACTTATTTCTAGAACTTGCATGTGCTTTGATTCAAGCAGCAGCAGGGTGTTTAGACGGAATGGAGATGACATGAATTACCTGTCGTTACGCAGGTCATAGCCTCTCACCATTGCACATTATCAGAAAGGGAATGGTATCGAGAAAAGACATGCAGCACTATTAAAAATATGTGATTTCAAAAGTTATTAATTATATTAATACAAATTCAGGCTTCAAGATGTTAAAACAAATGTGTCCATAAGCAGCCCAAGAGAAAAGGGGAGGGGTAGGCCCAATAATTATCAGGTACACAGCACTGACCTCGGAGCGACATCCCGCCCCTAAGCAGGGTTCTGGTGGCACGTCCCCCACGTAGTCCTCCTCGGGGTAAGCCTCTCTGGATTATGGGCAGGCCTCGTCCTCCGATTGCTCCCCTGGCCAGGGTCCCTATGGGTCGGCCTAACCGTGCCTGGATGTTACTCTTACCCAGGCGCTGCTTTAAGCTCTTCTGGAAGAAAAGGTGTTGGGGGATTGAGATCAAAAAAGCATTCTAGTGGGATTCAGCAACTCAAAGTGCAGAGAAAAAGAAGCAAGTGAGATGGCTGTGTGGAGGGAGATAAACCTGCCGTAGATGTCACAAAGATCCTAAACCAGAAACTAGCCTTTGCCTCAGGATATGGTAAAAAAGAAGCAGAATTGTGATCCAGAACCTTTATGAAAGCTAAATTTATATCAACAAAAATTACCTACATTTGGCTACAGAAGCCATACGCCACTCCTTGGAACTTAAGTTTTAGTAAGGACTCCGTATTTCAAATCCTGGATTCTGCTGTTTTTGAACCACAGGTTGACAATGATACAACTTGATTCATACTTGCCCAAGGACTACCACTGTCTTCAAAGGCTTACTCAAACACCATAGGAAGTTCATCACACTCTGGGAAATATTTTAAATTATAAGTTCATTTGAATTCTTGTCACTTAAAAACAAGATTTGATTTTTCAGTCAAAGAGGCCAGTGTGTTCCATTTTTCCTCTGAGTATCTATCTCCAGACGGTCCACTTTTTACCTTAAGATGTAAATAAACACAAAAAAGTCAAACCTCCTTTCCTTATATTTCTTAAATCGCTATTAATTCCATGTCTCCCCTTGCAAACAGCTCCATTAAGCCAGGACAATAACCTTTAATTCAAAATACTCAAATGTATCTCCAGAGAGTAAGCTAACTTTCATTAGAATTAAGACAGGTGATATAATCACAAAACTCAGGGCCGTATTTGAGAACAAGGACATACCACTAATGGAGATTTTCAATAATCTGTCCCTCAAAGAAACTATTAAGACAACATCTCAGGGCGCCTGGGTGGCTCAGTTGGTTAAGTGACTGCTTTCGGTGCAGGTCATGATCCTGGAGTCCCGGGATCGAGTCCCACATCGGGCTCCCTGCTCGGCAGGGAGCCTGCTCCTCCCTCTGACCCTCCCCCCTCTCATGTGCTCTCTCTCTCTCATTCTGTCTCAAATAAATAAATAAAATCTTAAAAAAAAAAAAAAAAAGACAACATCTCAGCGAATTAAATTCCTTCAAAGGAAAGGTAACTGTGTAGCCTTGAACACAACCAAGGCCCCAGCAAACCTGTTTTCCTATAAAGCCATTAGTCAATATGAATGAAAATAAATTCTGTGTATCCTCAGGCTTCACCCATAAATGGCTTACCATTTTTTTTTTTTTTTTTTTGCAACCACATGCTGTGAGTTATTAGCTTTCTAGCACAAGATAATAAACTGCTTCTAAGCAGAGGGACAGGCTCTGAACATTATGCACCTAGACATAACCAACCTTAGGAGCCTGTCGCATCACTCCCGACAGCACACAATTAGGAGGTCAGGACTTCATTCTACAAATCCCTTCTGTTCGATGATCCGGACGGAGTATATTCTCCCAAAATCCGTGCTTCAGAGGAGAATGCACAGTGCTTAGAAGTTCTCCCTTCCTAATCCTTTGCTGCCAGCAACAGTAGTCTCTAACACAGTCGGCAAGCTTAAAAGACATTCCTATACCATCTAGTTTTCACTCCAGAGCTGTGCTGTGTGCTAAGGAAGCCACTAGCCACATGTGGCTATTTAAGTTACAAGTAAATAAAATTTAAAAAGCTCCTCAATCACACTAGCCACATTTTGAGTGCTCAACAGTCACACTTGGCTAGTGGCTACCATATTTGGAGAGCAGATGTAGAGTATTTCCTTCACTGTGGAAAGTCTTCTCAGATAGTTCTGCTCCAGAGGCAACTTTCTGCCCAGCCTATACTTAAGGCTTCTTCTAGAAAGGTCCTTTGGAATGATGTGTCAGAGACTTATCTTCAGCAATTTATAATAGCTACTCTTGGAAAATGGTGGGGCCCTTTTCACTGCTTTCCTGAGTCAGGGACAAATACAGAACTCCATGGCTTAAGGCGGCTGAAGCAGAAGGCCTTGTTTATTTTTGGTCAGTGAGCCTAACAGTTCAGGGTGGGGGTGGGAGGGTGTTATATTTAACACCAAATTTATGCACAGCCATGCAGTGCTACCAGTTAAAGTCCTTGCAGTTGCATGGCACCGCCCTCCAGACGCCCAGCCACAGCTTGGACATATCCTTCCACAGCCACTGTCCGGACTTGCATATAAGGTCTATGAATAATAAAGAGCAGGTTTTATTTCAGGTCTGAATAAGGATTACCTCTTACTGGAAATTTGACAGAGAACCCACTAATTCTTAAATTAATTATTCAATGCTCTCCCTCTACTTTACTGACAAAACTTAGGTGCTGTGGAGATGAAGGTCACCCTACTCTTTCTGTATTTTAGCATCGGAAATCTCTGGCTAAGGCTGTTCAGACTTCCTGTGCTGGGGGAGAAAGAGTAAGATTATTTCCCTCTTTTGTAAGTCATTTAACATGGAATAAATAAAGGATTTTCGGAAGGTCATCTAAAACAGAAACCAAAATTTCTTTGTGGTAAAATCCAGTGACTCGATTTTAAGGGCAAAGGATCAGAAAAAAAGAGATTAATATTCATTGATAACACAGAAATAGGCCACTCTGATGGCAAACTACCTAAAAGAGAAAGACAACAAAAAGTTACTTATTGGTACCTGCCAAAATGGGAATTCTCTGAACTTCTCTTTCCTCCAGAGAAGTTTCTGCTTTTGCCCTGAGCCACCTTGCAATCATCCTTCACGTCCTGACAGCCTCAGTGGACTGCCTGATAGAGATCACCAGCTGCTTCTGGAGCATTAAGACCCATCCTCTCACCTGCTTAAGTTTTAATGCTGCCTGGACAGAGGGTCTATTCTCCATCTGCTGGGCCAGTCTTCTGTTTCTGGCACTGGCTAGCTGCTGTTGTTGCTGCATCGAAGCCCGAATATTCACTGGCATCGGCTGTTTGTTCTTCAGCATATTAGTAAAGCTTCAAGGTCGAACAGAATGGATGTTTAAATAAAAGCTTTATTACAAAACATTTATTGGCATTTTCATGGCTTGCTAGACCAGGAGCTCCAGATCCCACGAACTTTAAGTAAAGTGGTACACTTAGATCAAGGCTGAAGTGGGTTAAAGACTCCTCTGCTTCCACAAACTTGCAAGAATCAGAAACTTAGAAACGCAGCTAGGTGCAGCACATTCAATCAAAAGTGATAACAAGGGCTCAGGTAACGGCTTTTAAGAGAGGTGGAAGGTATGAAAAACACGCAGTAAGCAGATATGATGACAACAAAAGACAGAAAATGTAGTTTCAAAGACAAACAGAGAAAGCCAAAAATCTTGGGGGAACCTGAGAGTGCACTGTAAAAGCAAATATAAGGAAGGCCTAGAGCACCTTCAGAGCCCACGGAAATAGTACACTCATATGAATTATAGGAGTAGATCTTATTTTCTTATGTATTTGTTTGCTTAGTAACATGTAAATATGGACAATCAGTATATCCTACCCTAAGAGATAAGAAGCAGCACATATGCTTCAGAAAAGAAAAAAAATCAAGTCAATCTTTTAGTGGTCTAACATCAACTAAATAAAATCATTGGTCAAAGGCACTCAATACAGAGCTCTGGGAAATAGAAACTGTACCTTAAGTACCTTAACTTTTCTTAGTCTCAAAGGATTACTTTTCCTAACTCCAAGTGATTACTTCTGAGAAAATCCGATTACTTTATTTACTTATTTTTTTAAAGATTCTTATTTAAGAGAGAGCATGAGAAGGGGGAGGGTCAGAGGGAGAAGCAAACTCCCCGCCGAGCAGGGAGCCCGACGCGAGACTCGATCCCGACGCGGGACTCGATCCCGACGCGGGACTCCAGGATCATGACCTGAGCCGAAGGCAGTCGCTTAACCGACTGAGCCACCCAGGCGCCCAAAATCAGATTAATCACTTAACAGCTTGTGAAGACACTCCTCTCTTAGTCCTGTTAAGTAAGTTCAATGCCACAAAAAAGAAGAACACTTAATTGTCAAAGAATCTAACACAGAAACAAACTAAAAGCAGGACGGAAAGAAAGAGAAATGGAGCAAAGCAAGTGCCTCTTACAAGGCCCCAGAATGGCATCCAAGGGCCTTTGGACATATCCACAGCTTGCTACCTGCCTCTTACAGGCCAGACGCAACACTGCTGGCCTTGGACTGGGCAGCAAACCTACTGCAGCCAAGGTACCACGCTACCGAGCTGCACCACCCCTGTATCAATGTAAAAAAAATGTGAAGAAGAGGGAGGGTGCGAGGAGTCTTTTAAAATACATCCCACCAGATAAGTGTTTCAGACAGCTTAACATAAAAATCTACTGATAAGGGGTTTTGAAACAACCGCCCAATTTGTTTCGTGTACCACATAAGATGCAACTAAAAACAGAGGTCTGTAGCCTTCTGTTGGTATTTAGCTTAAAATTGGTTTGTGTGCATCGGACCCCAGGGCCAAGTTAAGGAATGTTTTCTTATGAACGAGCTGAAGTTGCTGTTGGCTGCCTCACCGCTCATTTAGAGACATCTTGGTGGTGCTTTTTAGCACAACTTTCGGCGCTGACTGTGCAGCCATCTTCAAATCCCGAGAATCTACAAAGGACAACAGGCAGATGAGCAAATCAGAGCCCGGACCCCTCGTTTCCGCAGGCATCACAGACCCGGCGCAGCAGCGAACGGAAACAAAAGGCCTGGATGGAGGGCCCTGAGGGTCCCACAAGACTCGCGCTGGGGGCTTCCGTTCACAGCAGTTGCCGCAGACAGACTTCGAGGCCGCGGCACAGAAGACACCTACCCTAACCCCAGCGGCAGACCCAGACCGAGCCACAGGAGGGAAGTCGGGCTTTCCTCTGGAGGAGCCCTTTCCAGCCGGGGCTGCCAGAACCTCTCAGAACCCAAGGAACCCGGATCCCCCCCCGTGAACCCCGATCTCGGCGGTGAGGCCGGGGGCGGGCCAAGGGCGGCGGGAGGAAGGCCCCTCGCTGCTCCTCACACGCAGCCAGCACGCAGAGCCCCTGACGGAGACACGCGGTGCAGGCAGAGCCGCGTCCAGAGCGGCTTTCGGCGCCCCCACCGCGGGGGAGCCTCGGCCAGGGCCCCGCCGCCACTGCCCGGTCAGGGCCGCCGCCCCGCCGCCCCGCCGCCGCCGGCCCCGCCCTCCGGGCCCCGCCGGTGCCGCCCCGCCGCTCCCGCCTCGCCACAGAAACGCACCGAAGGAGACGGACGCCAGGGCGCCTCCCGGGGCTGCCACCACGGCTGCGGCGCGCGGGCCGGGGCCCGGCGGAACCTGAGTTGACTTGGTGGGCGGTTGGTCAGAGGTGTAGGCGGTAGGCCGCTGGGTTAGCTCGTTGTTGCCAGCCGGCTGTCTGGCCGGCCGGTCCGCCTGCTCGCCCGCCGGCCCTTCCCTGCCTCGCGTCGGTGCCACCACAGCCGCCGCCGCCTCCCGCTCCGTGCCCAAAACAAAATGGCCGCCACGCCCAGAGCCGAGCGGGACCGGCTAAAATGGCGTCGACGCAATTACGCCGGACGTCAGATCCGCGCACAGCCGGGTGATGGGAGAAGGTGAGCGCTACGCCTGCGCGGGGCTTGGGGCGGAGCCCTGGGGAGAAGGCGGGGCTTTAGCCAAGGTGGGGTGTGAGGTACACTCCGCCCCGCCCGCGGAGGGGCGAGGCCAGTGCTCGCGGTTGGTGGTCTCGGAGGTTCTCGGTCCAGGCAGGGCGGTTGTAACCTGGACCTCCTAGAGCACTTTCGGTCTCGGGGAGAAAGATGTCGCGGCGCCCCGCCCCGGGTAAGGGCGACCATCCACAACTCTGCAAATCCACCGAGGATTTGCCTCGGTGCCTCTTCCCGAGCACCTGGGCCCCGGTGCTGGACGCGAAGAGCCATAGACGCCCCAGCCAAGGCCAGGGCGCCGGATCCTCCGCCGGTCACCAATGCCTGTGCATAGTTTTCTCGTCCTGAATATTGTTAAATCCCTATGGGGGGTGTCTTTGTGTCCCTGCTCCCCCTTCCATGCCCTCCCCATCTGCCAGTCCTGTGCGTTTCGATGCAGACCTACACAGGATTTTTCTTATGCCTGGGTACACAATAAAAATACTCAGGTGTTTGAGGAATGAGTGAACGAACACATCTTCAGCCCTTCTGCATATGCGTGCATCACGATCCTTTCGTTTTCTTCCTAGCATTTGTGTATGTGTGTGTGTGTTTAATGGTCTGGCATCCTTACTGGACTTGACCTATGTGACAGTAAGGGTCGTGTTTGTTTTGTGCACCACTACACCCCCAGTTTCTACACAATGTTTAGCACATGGCAGGTCCTCAGTAAATATTCTTTGCAGACTGAAGGGAAATTCTTCTGTCTTTGCAGCTGGAACTTTGAACACCTACCTTCCTGGGCCTTGAGCATTCCTCAGCTAGGAAGATGTAATGTCCCCTTGACCTCTCTCCGAATAAGATCCCTTCCCAAATAAGGTGAATTGGGAGTGAGCAACCTTGATTTCCTCACTCCCAGACCCCAAAGGAGACAGACAGCAGCTGGCCAGAGAAGAGCCTTTAATGAAAGATGAGTTGCAGGCTTGGCCCACTACTCTTGCGCCCTTGGTGGAGGGTGGGCAAGGGTAGGAGTGTAGGGAGGGAAAAGTGGGGTGAGGGGGGAGGAGGGGGAAGGGCGCTGCCCACTGGGGCTGTCTGCTCAACTGTTCTCCCAGAAAAAGTTGTTGCAGGCTACTGTGAGGGCAGCCACCAGCACCACGTACTCCTGGAAGTCTACCTCCCCATCTCCATTCTCGTCTAGCTCTTTCATCACCTTGTCCACAGCATCTGCATCCTTCTGGGCCTGTGGAGGGAGGAGATGGAGAGGTGGGTTTGTAGGGAGATGAATAGTACTGAATCAGGGGCAAGGGGGGGTAGTTGATTGGGAAGAAGGCAGAGGTGAGCAAGAGGCAGAACTACATCTAATTATGGGACTGTTCGGAGTCCCTCCTTAAAACTAACACTGGTGGCCTCCTGTTACCTACAGAATAAACCCCTTAACAAGGCAGAGTAATAACAACATCGATTACCATATGTTGAGTGCCTAGAGAAGCTTTACAGGGATTGTCTTGTAAAATTGTTAATTCTAACACAAACAGTATGAGGTAGGTTTCATTATTTGCATACTAGAGAATAAACAAATTAACAGTTGGTGTTAAATAATGTGCCTAAGTGACACAGCTGGAAGGTGGCAGGGTCAGAATTGGAGCCCAGGCCTGATAAAACCTCAAAGCTGGTGCACTCTCTCCTGGCTTCTTTATTATAGAATAATCAGCATTTGCAGCCTACTTTTCTGCATCCTTCACTCTGGTCAAAACTACTGAGCATGCTCCATGTTCTTTCTTCCAGGCTTTTGTTCATGCAGATACCTCTTAATATGTCTACATTTATCCTAATAATATTCCAGTGGAAATCCATGGCTCAAGTGCCACCTCTCTGGAGAAGCCCACTTCAGTCAGGTTAGTATTGTCCCGAAGTCCTTTCTGGCAATTCTGTTAAAGCTCTGTGTAGTTCCTAAGTGGCTGGCCCAAGGATTCATGGGGACGGGGATGTAAGTGCTTCTGAGCTTCCTGTCAGCAGACTGGGGCCTCTTTTGATCCTTCAACTCTGGGCTCTCCTGAACAGATTACTTCCTGGTATTCATGGTTTACTTCCATGTGTCAGTCTTTCCCTTCTAGACTGTGAGCCTTCTTTAATGATGCGTCTGCATGGGTCCTAGCACTTAACAGGTGATTAACAAATTAGGGTATTTTGCCTTGAACCAAGAAAAATCCAGGAAAGAAGTCTGGGAGAAGAAGAAGATGATTGGACTGAGTTGGGGTGGGGTGGGAAGATGGTAGGGAGGTCCCCAGTTGTTGTTCCTCCACCCCTCACCCATCCCACCCTGTATCCCGCTCTGTGCTCACGTCCAGGAAGCCGGAGAGCTCAGTCTGCAGCAGCTCTTTTAGCTCCTTCTTGCTCAGCTTGTACTTGTCTCCCTCCTTGCCCGAGTGGGCATGGAACACATTGATGAGAGTCTCCATCGCTGTCTCCAGCTCAGAGCCCATCGCGCAGCTTACCTACCCACCCCCCACCATGGAAGTAAGTTGGGGACCATGCTCAGGGTATCTGGGGTTGGGGGGAGGGGAGCCCTCAGACCTGGCCCTGGTCCTGCACCTGAAGTTGCCCTGAGAGCAGAGCCACACTGGAATTTACCTGTCACTGAGACTTTAGGATGTGGGAACCCAAACAGGCCTAAATCCAGGCTTGTTCTCTGTGTCCCTCAATCCATATCCCAGCCAGAGGGAGTCAGGGACTGGGGCCATGGAGGTAGAGCCGCTGGAGCTGGGCTGGCTCTAGGGGCCTGCAGTGGACTCTGAAGTGGCTCCTGGCTGCCTGGGTGGACACTGAGGAGGGCGGGGCAGGCAGGTGGGGATGGTCACAGGACACTGCCAAGCTTCCTCTGGCTCTATTTTTACCCTGCCTTGCCTGCCTAGCACAGCTAAGCTCTGCTGCTGAGGGTGGTGAGCTGCGTTCCCTACGGCCTTGACTCTGCTGTCTACCCCTAGCAAGGAGCCAGTCTGGTGCCCTCAGCCAGCCTGATGGAGAGAGTGGCAGCCAGAGTGGCTGGCCCAAGGCTTCATGGGGACGGGGATCTAAGTGCCTCTGAGCTTCCTGTCAGCAGACTGGGGCCTCTTTTGATCCTTTAACTCTGCTCTCTCCTGAACAGGTCACTTCGGTTTCCCCGGGGTGCATCTCCATTACCTCTAGTTTGGTTCCTCTTACTTCTCTGCACAATCAGGCCTTCCATCGGGTGATGGTGGGAATCGAGAGAGGAATGACCAAGCCTTTCCCCAGAGCCAGGGCTTCCAGTGTGAGGGAGAGGAGACCCCTGGGGCCTTGTCCCTGCTGCTGCCCACTCCCTCGCCTAGGCCCAGCCTGGATGATGTGAGGACAGTGGTAGTGGGAGAATGGGTCTGATATATGTTGGGGGAGATAAAAGGCTGAGTATGTCCTCTGAATTCAAGGGGAGAGAAGAAGAGAAAAATGGAGGGTTTTGTTGAGGAGAGGGGACTGCCAAGCCAGTGGGCCTCTTTCTTTTGGCCTTGGGATGGTCATCCCCTTCACAGCCTCAGGGGACAGCTCAGGTGTCTCAGATCAGGTGTCCTTGTCTTTCCCCAGGCCTGGGGGGCTGAACAATGGGCCCTGATCAAATGACATTCCACCTTTACAATGGGAACCTTGTGAGTGTCACCTGAACTCTGGACATGAGAAGCAGTTGTCACAGAGACCTGGGGAGATGGAACCCAAGCCGGGACTGATGGAGGGGATAAGAGTGTTTGTGGGGGAGGGCTGTTGGTGGCTCAGTTATTGGCCCCATCCAGTAGGGGCACTTAGAGGTTGCCTGGAGCCCTTGAGCAGCCTGGGATTTTATGTAGGGGCCGTTTGGAGAGTACTTTGGCAGGGAGGGGGCAGACAGGAAAACAAAGGGAAAGACTTGAAGGAAAGAGGAGTCTGAAAGTCTGAGCCAAGAAAGGGAAGGTCACGTGAAAGGAAAGTTGGGAGTGGGTACAATACCCTAATGCCCCCTCCTCTTGATCTCACATGGTCCATGCTCTGCCACCCCCAGATTTCCCTGGGACCTGAGCCCTTGGCAAGGCTGGGTGGTGGTGGGTGTGGGGACAGAAGCAACAGTTCCATTTGCCTTCTTATTCGTACCCGCCTGGAAGCAAGGTGGGAGCTGGCTCCCTTCCTCAGCACCGGGAGAGTGAGGGAGCCTTGGGAGGGCACTCTGAGGGCTCTGTGGTAGGAGGGCTTGATCTCCTGGAAGCTTGGTGGCTGGGCTCCCCACTGGCTTCTTCGTTCTCTGAGGAATACCACAGACCTCCCTCTGACCTTCACTTGCTTCCCTGCACTACTGTCCAAACCCTGTCTCCCCCGAATCCCAAACTGCTGTCACTCAAACCCCTCCCAGACCCTCGGTGCGGCACAATGCTATTGTCCCCAGACCTGAGGAGCCCTGCTGAAGTCCCCTTTCCCCCAAGCTGGCCACAGGAGAGACCGAGCACAGGAGACACAGGATACTTACTGTCAGCCCGGACCCGAGGTGGGAGCAGGTTCTGGACAGACGAGTCTGCAAATGTGGCTAAGGGAGCTGTGTGGGGAGACCTGTCTTCAGCCCTTCCCCCACTGACCCCCCCTCCCCACTGGCTCCACCCCTTCACAGACAGACACCCAGTGGGGCAAGGGGCCAGGAGTGGACAGAGGCGCCCTCTGTCTCCTGGGCTAGAACAGGCTGCCCTGTGTCCTCTTGTCCAGCCTCAGTTGCCTCCCCCCTCCCTGCTGGGCACCAGCAGGCAGGGCCCAGGCGGAAGGGGCTGGGAAAGGTCCTGGGAGGGACCCGGAGAGGCCTCGCCCCACCCCCACCCCAGCACTGGCAGGAAAGGGGAGGATCCTGCTGAGGGGTCTCAGTGAGGGGACCTCTCAGGGAATCCCTTTCATCTTGGGAGTCTCACTCCCCGCTGAGAGATTTCGGTCCAGGAAATCTTTCTCCACGGGGGTCTCAGCGGGATTCCCCTCTGTGTGTGGGAGCCTCTTGGGGGTCTTGGGCTGCAGGGTCCTTTTCAGGATCTCATTCGGAAGGGCTCTCAGTGGTGCTTCTCAGACTGAACTCCTGGGCAGGGCTCCCTCTCGGGCCTCTAGGATGCAGAGCCTACCGGGGCGGTGGGCTCCCGGTGCCCAGAGGGGGTCTGTCCGGGAGGCGCCTTCCCGCCTCCCCCCTGCAGAGGGGCGCGCGTGGGCCGGGCCGGGCGGGGGGACCCGGGCACCCCGCCCGGATGCTGGGGGGCGGGAGGCGGGCGAGAGGCGGGCCTGGGCGGTCTCCTCCCTCCGGCATCAAGGCAGAAGCTGGACACCTCGGGGCTGGGCTGGGGCTCCGCTGCCTCCTGCCCTCCGGCTCCTGCGCCCACTTCCCCCTGCCGCGGTGAGTCCCGTGCCCCCACCCTGGGGCCGGGCGCCTTCCCGCCCCTCGCCCCCACCACCCCCGCCCCGGGGCTCCCGGGCGTCTCCCCGAGCCAGCTCGGACTGGGGTTCGGGAGGCTTTGGGGGGCCGGCCGCTGTCCTCGTGGAGGGGAGTGGCGGGAAGGGGCTGGAGGAGTGGGCTGGGCCCTGTGCCCGCTGCCCCTGCGGGGCGGGGTCCCTGCGGCCTGATCGCAGGCTGACCGCAGCCGGCGGTTTGCCTGACCCCGGGCTTGTCTGCTGGGAAGAGCGGGCGGGAGCGTGTGGGCGGGCGGAGTCCCTGCACAAACAAGCTTTGGAGACAAGCAGCCTCATGACCCCTTGGGACGGGTGGGCCTCCAAGAAAGGGCCCTTGGGACTGAAGGCCACAGAGGGGCCGTTCCAAAGTGCCTCCTCTCAGAGGGGTCTCCAGACCGAAGGGCCACCACCGAGGGGTCCCTAAGGCACTGACACTTGGAAAGGACCAGCAGGCTCAGACCTAGAGAGGATGGTGTTTCTGGAAGCAAACACCCCTTCCCCCACCTACGCTGAGCTGTTGTTTCCTGGTCCCTGCCCCAGGCTCCATCCCTGTCCCCTCTCTGCTGGCCCATAATGCTTCTTCCAGGCAGGGGCCTGAGGTGGCAATGCCAGGGCAGGGCACTCTGGTCTATTCTAACTCTCCCCTTCTCTCCCTCCCCGTCCTACAGAGTCCTGATGGCAGCAGAGCCACTGACTGAGCTGGAGGCGGCCATTGAGACAGTGGTCAGCACCTTCTTCACCTTTGCAGGGCAGGGGGGCCGGAAGGGTAGCCTCAGCATCGATGAGTTTAGGGAACTGGCCGCTCAGCAGTTGCCTCACTTGCTCAAGGTAAGTGGGGGTCTCTGGGCCTGAGATTTTGGAAGACAGTGGCTGCGGGACACTGTGGATGTGAGGTGATGTTTCCGGACACAATAATGTGACCCCAGGTGTGTGGTGGACAAGGGTGTGTGTAGCTTGGCCACACTGTGTTGTTGAGAGTGCAAGTGTGTTACTGGACTTTGTACTCCCCTCAGACAGAGCTGTTGGGTCTTGTGTCTGCTCTCTGGTCTTACCTCTCCACTACAGGAGTGGGCCCAAAGGTGGCTTCCAGGAGAGTCGTAGACCATCAGTGCTAGAAGGAGGGTGAGAGAAAACACAGACCAAACTGCTCACCTCACATGTATAGAAACTGAGGCCCAGCTGTAGAAAGGGGTTTGTCAAAAAGAAAATCATAGCCCAGTTCTTGGGGTGACAGAACCTCAGGGTAGGAGGGACCTGTAAGTAATCTTTGACTACTTCTCACCGCCTCTGGGAATCCCCTCAATAACGTACCGGATAAGGTCATTCCTTCTCTCCTACTCGCTGGACAGAGTAGGAGTTTAGATTTCATCCACTCCGAGTTGCCTAATCATAGCAGGCTGTTAAGTTTCTTTTATACCCTTTCTGAGAATTCACAGGCACGTGAAAGTATGTGGATACGGATTTAAAAATAAACAAACAAACAACAAACACATCTTGGAAACTCAGTCTATCATATGCAAAATCCCGTACATCCCTAGACTTCTCAGACTTTTCCCTTCCTCTTCTCTCAGGAGACTTGAGACTCCACCTGAGGTTCAACATTCCCTGTAGCCTTGCCACATAGTGACTGGTTTTTCCTCCAAATCCAACTCCCTCCGGGCCTGGAAATGCAAGAAGTGACCTCTTAGCTTTTTGTCACTGCTTCCAGATCTTAGTTTCTTCTTCTTCCTACTATGCAAAGCTCCTTGGAATCTGCGCCCTTCAGCTTCTGCCTTACTGTTTCTCATCACTGCTTTTGTCGGGGTCCTCAGTCTGCACACAGAAAATTCATCCAACACCTGGGCCTTTCAACTTCTTCAACTCCTTGCTTCCAAAGATTCTGTCCTGCTTCTGATCAGTCTACTCCTTTGTTCTTGCTTCAGATCTTGTCATTAGCAAAATAATGTACCACCTCCAGAATCTCAATTTCAAGCCTCCTTTTCCCTGGGTACCACCTCCTGCCATTCCAGTTCTGTTCCTCCCACTCTAGCAT